TGTTATACATAAAACTGTCTGATTATAGTGATGTTACATGTGATGGCTAGTTTTTTTTTTTAATCAAAATTTCTCAGTGCTTTTGGGGTAAAAACATGAATTGCTTTTTTTCCTGCAGGTTTGTTGTGTCTTTTTCTCCTTTGTTTTTCTGTCCCAGGCAGCCAATAATAAAAGTATCACAAGAGAAGATTACTAGGGTCCTTATTTTAGTGACATCGAATTTCGAATATAGATGCTTCAGATTTTTTAACTTATCTTTTTGTTTGACAAATATTGGGAGAAAACTTTTGTTGTTATCAATAGGCAATATAGACTTCAGAAATAATTATTGCTTTTGAAAAAATAGTTAAAGAAACCACCACCACCAACATAAAACGACTTTTATATAAAAAATTCCTTAGATCCTTCATGAATACCTATTTATCTGTCTCTCTATATTTTTAAAACCTTGGTGACTTTAATTTTGTGAAAGTATATTCCAGCTGTTTTTAGTCTAAATGTAGTCATGTCTCATGAATACCTATTTATCTGTCTCTCTATATTTTTAAAAGCTTGGTGACTTTAATTTTGTGAAAGTATATTCCAGCTGTTTTTAGTCTAAATGTAGTCATGTGAAAGAATAGTATTATTGAATTTATGATTTATAGAGATAAGAGATGTGAACTAAACATTAGGAGTAATGCCAAAGCAGGTAGGCAAATCTTCAATGTGGCTTCTTTTAACCCAAAGAAGCTCTTTGGCCTTTAAGATATTTAAATTAAGAAATAAGAGACAAATTCTCAAGGTTGTATGGTCATGAAATAGAAGAAAGCATATAGAAAGAATCATTAAAGCCATGAACCTAATGCTTATTTGTACAGGGAAAAAGCACGTAAAGTGAAACCACTTAAATAAGGTTAAAAATTTCATAGTGGGAAAATCAGGTTTTTTGACATTATCCTGAAAAATGCCACATAAAACAAACAAACAAAATGTTAATTTTCTTATTTGTACTTGCATTCAGGGTCACCAACATCCCTGTATTTGGAGAGTTGTTAGAAGGACTTACAGAACTTAGTATATAATTGTACTCATGGCTAAGGTTTATTATAGTAGTATAGTAATGATACACATCCAGATCGTAAGAGAAAAAGACACAGTGGAATCTGGAGATATCCATGTGAAGTCTTTCTTGTGCTCTCTTCCTCACATGGAACTTCCTCTTGCCCAGCAACAAAAATATAGCAACATATATACTGTTCTTGCCCAGGTAAGCCCATTAGAGACTCAATGTTCAAGATTTTTATTGTAGGCACCCTCTGTGTAGCACATACCAAAATTCTAGATTCGCAGAAGCATAAACCACATTGCTTGTGTAGACGGTTTAAGCACAGTGAGCCACTGTTTTCAGTTAGGCAAAGTTTTATATCAGTGCAGAGTACTGTTTATAGCCAAGTTCACAGATGCCAGCTAAAGGACAACTGGGCAAATTACCTTTCTGGATAGTAGTCTTAGGCCTGCTGTGTTAACTCTTTTCTAAACAGTCTTATTTTTAGGTTGTAATTGAAACAAGTACTAATTTCTAGAACAGCAAAAGACTTAATAAATTGTGTTTTCTTGGCCTAATTTTTCTGGCAAAGTTGTATGACAGCATATAGGACATCCTTTATCTTACAGTTGATCTTTGCATCATGATCTCAAGGAAGATCTTTTTTCAACAATTTTTAGAGACATCACAAGTTTTCCCTAGGTCTGTTAATACTTTCATATTCAAATCCTTGTGATTTTCTTTTTTTTAAGCTAACAATTTTGTCAGTTACTCACTCATCAGTGCCTTCACAGGTGCTTCAAACATTTCTCCAACATTATTTTAATGCATGACTTAAGGAAATTCTACATCTTTTAATTTTCACTTTGCAATCAACTTGAAGTATATTTCCATTTTCCTGTCCTGTACATTGTAGGATGTTTAGCAGCACTCTGACCTCTACCCATGAGATACTATAGCATCCACATCCCCCAGTTGTGGCAACCAAAAACATCTCCAGACACTGCTGAATGTATCCTGGGGGACAGAGTCATCCCCAGTTGAGAACTACTAAGTTTTACAAATGAAACAATTGAATAGAATGAAGAATCTAGAAATAGATCCACACATACGTGGTCAGTTGATTTTTGACAGTGGTGCAAAGGCAATTAAATAGAGAAAGGATACTTTTTCAACAAATGGAGTTGAAACTTTGGATTTCCATTTGCTTAAAAAAATGAACTTTTTCATTATATATAAAAATTAATTTAAAGTGGATCATAGACCTAAATGTAAGAATTAAAACAATCTCCTAGAATAAAATGTAGTAGAAAACTTAGTGATTTTTGAGGTGGGCAAAGATTTCTTGAAGAAATGTTATTTCTATTAATGTTAGACTTCATAAAAATTAAAAAATTGTTCTTCAAAGACACTATTAAAGTAAAAAGGCAATCCTCTCCTCTCAGACTGGGAGAGCATATATCTCTCAAAATATATATCTGATAAGTAGATTGTATCCAGAATGTATAAAGAACTGTTAAAACTCAGTAATAAGGCAACCCAATAAAAATGGGCAAAAGATTTCAATAGACACTTCACCAAAGAAGATATATGAATGGCAAATAAACCCTTAAAAAGATGCTCAGCATCATTCGTTATTGAGGTAATGCTAACTAACACCACAATCAGATACTATTACAAACCCACTGGAATGACTAAAATTAGAAAAATTGGAAATACTAAGTATTGGAGAGACTATGTAACAACTGGAACTCTTCTAGATTGCTGGTGGAAATGCAAAACATTACACTTGGGAAAACAGTTTGGTAAATTTTTATTACATTAAACATACACTTACCATATGAATTATTGGTTCACTCCTAGATATTTACCCAAGAGAAATGAAAATTTTTTGTCCACACAAAGACTTGTACTAGAACATGCATAGCAGCTTTATTCATAATATCCCAAGGGACCTTAAAGGGACCTTAAATGTCTATCAACTTGTAAATGAATAATTAAATTGTTAAAAGGAACAAACTATCAATACTCAGCAGTAGTATCAGTGAATCTCAAAAGCATCATACTAACTCAAAGAGACCAGACACAAAAGACTACATGCTGTATGATTGCATTCATATGAAATTCTACAAAAAGCAAAATTAAAAGTGATGAAAATGAGGCTCAGTGATGGTAAGTAACTTGTCCAAGGATATAGCTAGTAAATAGCAGGAGTGAGTTTTGTATGCTTGACTTTAAAATAAGGGTGTTTTCCTTTATGCTGTGCTACCTCTAGGGACTATCCTTAATCATTTCTACTGGCACATTTGATCCTAAATTTCTCTGCCTCTTCATCCCTGGACACGAGCATAAAGATAAAAATCTGCTGGCACACAGTATGTCTCCATTTTAACAAAATTCTGACCATCTCTTCCTGATCAGAAGTTTTTCAATGATTTGAATCACTTGCTTGCCCCTTCAAGTGGGATCACTGGCAGTTTTTTTACTGACTTATACCATAATCTAGTTAGTAACCATTCTTAACTTTGATCACTTACAGATTTCTTTTTTTTTTTTTTTTTTGTCTTTTGACTTTTTCCGTGTCCGGCAACGGATCACAACCCTCAGTGTTGCTCCCGTACTGGACCGGGGACCGTCAACGGGATTGCAACCCTCGGCGTTGCTCCCGCGCCTCGCTCAGCCAGTGAGCGGGAACCGGTCCACAGATTTCTAATACACAACTTTGAGTTACTCAGAGCAACCTTATTTATATTGGAAACTTTTTTTCTCCAAAAAATGTCATAACCTCTTTGACCTCAGTTTCCTTTTCTGTAAAATGATTGGGTTGGAGTAGATTATTTCTAACTTTCCCTCTAAGTCTGTTATTTAGGATACATATTGCTATAGGGAAAATTTTAGAATGGATGTTAGGTTCCTAGACTAGTTAACAAAACCTCTTGAATAAGCAGTATACCTGAAATAGTCCAAACTGAACTTTAGTCAACTATATCAACTTAAAATACAGTTTATAATATAATACAGTCCTGAAACAGTTCTTTCCCACTTTTCCATCCCATCCTGCAGCAGTGTGGGGAAGGACAAGAGGCTCTGATAAAGAGATAGGGTAAATCCTTCTGGGCATCAGTAATTCCACATTTGTGTGAAAGCAGCTTAATCTGTGCCGCATCTACACCTGTGCTGTCCAATGTGGTAGCTGCTAGCTACATTTAAATTTTAAATTTAAATCAATTAAGTAAAATTTAAAAATTCAGTTCTTCAGCCACATTAGCTACATTTCAAATTCTCAGTAGCCACATATGACTAGTGGCTACCCTACGGACAGAGCAGATACAGAACATTTCATCATCGCAGAAAATTCTACAGGGCAGTACTAATCTAGAATTGGGCCTACCAATGTCTGCCTTTTACTGCAATGAAGGCAGCATGTTGTACTTTCATGCCATCATATTTGGTTCTCTCATGAGGCCCAATCAGGCCAAATCAATGGGTCAGTTTACAATTGCCATATCAAATTTAATCAAATATTTTTTTGGCCAGAGTTTGAAAAATATTTTTTATAACATTTATTTATTGGCAGCTGGCCAGTACAGGGATCTTAACCAATGACCTAGGTGTTATAAGGCTCTTATAAGTTTAACCAACTGAGCTAACCGGCCAGCCCTTGATAATTTAATGCTCGGTAACAGTGTTTTGTGATGAAAGCAAAAATTATTCCTCTTAGGTGTCTGTAAAGATAACTTTGAAAAAATACCTTGTAGGCAGCTGAGATTCTTCTACAACACGGAGCAAACCCTAATCAAAAAGACCAAAAGCAGAAGAATGCTTTGGATCAAGCAGATGATGAAAAAATGAAAGAGCTATTAAAATCTTATGGTGCTATTGAGACTGGTAATAGAGATAAGAGTAATGCTATAGTCACTGGTATGTATGTCAATATTGCTTGCTATTTCATACAGATGTATACCTCTTCTTAGAAAAATAAAATCTTCAGATTTGTAGTATAAATTGTTTTATAACTGTGGATAGATTTTTCCTATGTTTATCAAACTCTTGAAAAGCCATTATTTATTTTTAGAAATTAGTGTTTTCAAATTTAGTTTAATTTATAGATCTTATTATCCTATTGGATTAGAGTTACATGTTGAGTGAAACATGGATCATTCATTAATCAAACATTAATCTGTCTGTCATGGAGTGTGAGATAGAGACATAACTGAAACCAGTCAGATTAGTTTACTTATAGTGGGACTGGAAAAGGGTGACATTATACTGAAGTCTTTGCAGCTAAGATTCCATTACTTCAAAATTTGAAACACTTCATACATCGGTTGGACTCATGCCAACTTTTCAAAAATCTAGTATTCTAATACTAGGATCTTGATTTGTTAAGTAAATAGACATGTGCATATGTAATGTATTATAGTGAAAAGAATATTTCAAGAGAACCTACAGCTAGGCAGAATTTTATGAACCAAGTTTTAACAGTAGATTGCATTCTATTAAGTGCTGAGGAAAGGGAATTGTTCTTCCTTTTCCCTCATACTTGAGGCTTGACTCGTAGAAGAAAAACTCAGAAACATATCTGCCTTCACTGTGAGTGAGAATGCTGATGAGAGAACCCCTGTCACATTTCTCCCCTAACCTACCACTATCCTTACCAACCGTTGATTTTCAAGAGAGGAATAATTACTGGTATGATTGGTTAGAGCCAAAGGTATTCATTGTGTCATATTTTATTAGTGGGCTAGGTCACACGTAGATCAAGGTCCGGACTAATAGAAGTTTCCTCTTTTCATTGCCTACTACCACATAGTGGTCCATAGGGTCAGGGCCTTTCTTAGGCCCCAGCCATTTCTCTCTCCCTTTCCACAGCCATACCTGAAGGTTCACGTCTCATGATTTAGATCAGCTTACCAGAGAAACCTTGCATTTGGAGTTACTGGGCACTCTGTTATAAAGTGCTGTATCTATTCCCACATGTCTGTTGTTTCTTGTGTATACACTTCCTTGATCTGTTACTCCAGAAGGTTGAGGGGTATAGGGTACAATGGTAATATGGAGAAAGGGAATCCAGAATAAGAGGAGGGTCCAAAAGAACTTTACAGAGGCAGTGAATCATACTTATAGTGGTTAAGAGCATGGACTTTGGAGTCAGATAAGATCTAATTTCAATACTAGTCATGTGATATTGAGCAACTTCCTGAACTGCTCTAAGCCTCACTTTCCTCCTCTGCAAAATGGATGTAACAAACTACATACCTCAAAGGGTTCATATGAAGATGAATAAGGTGATTGATGGAGAGTGTTTGTCATCAAGCATGTGATACATGCTGAGGAAATACTAACCATAATTAGGCAATTAATAATAATTATGAGGTGCTGACTAACATTAAGATATTATAATAACTGTAGACTTAATTTGTCCTTCCCATCCTTGCCACCATTAAAACTAATATATTTTCTAATTTTATTTTTTAAAGTAAAAATTCCTACTGTCCGGTCAAAAAGACATAAACAGTGTTTTTGTGATAATGGCAAAACTGTTGACCCACCTTCCCTTTCACACCAAGAAAAAACAAGAGAAAGCCTTCCTGTGGTGAGTGAAGTTGAAATTCTCTCATTCTTCGACCTAGAAAATATGGTTTTTTGGGCCAGCCAGCCATCGGCTATTGACAGCACTATTTCCATTTTATGGACACACAGGTTGAAGTGTTTTTTGTCATAGGAAAATAATATAGCATAATTGAACAGAATGAGCCAAGAAGATATGCTGTATGGTTTATTCTCAATTATCTGCATTGAATACAGAAGCTATGAATTAGCTGTTCTTTATACCTAGATTGAGTTCTTTGGCTACTTGTCTCACAAACACTGCCACTGTCACTCACTCTAAAAAGTGTCTAGGATACATAGTACATAGAAAAGACTCTGGAACCCAGACAGAGAAGAGGAAAGCAACCTGGTTTAGCTGTCCTGAATTTATAGTTTGTGGGGTTTTTTTTGATAGTGAGAGTTGCTCAATAAAATATATATTGATTATAAGATGGATATTCTTAGTTTGACAAAAACACAAAACTTATTAGCCACACCCTTCTGAAGCAAGGTAGCATCCTCAACGAAATATTATTTTGAATAAGTTTCTGCCAATGGTAGCCAAGACTGGGTACATCCACAAAATGAGAATGACAGAGAGGAAAGATGGCACCAAAAAATGTTTTCTTTATCTTAATCTGTAGGTAGAGGCTTAGCCTGGGCACAAGTTCAAGTCTATAGTTTGCTTTTATAACCATAAGCCAGTCACTGTATAAAGAGGTAAACCTTGGGTTTTTTTGTTTGTTTTACATGTTTACATTTTATAGTTTTACTTTGATGCATTTAATAAATGACAGCAATAAGATTGCTTTACTACATAAGTAGATGGTTTTATTATGTGCATTTTCTATATGCTCTGTGGGCACCAAGGTAAAATTTCAGAGCAAAATACTTCAGAAAGCTTTAAGGACCTAATCATTTTAAAAGTGAATGTGTATTGAGAATATATTAAAGGATGGATAACACATATGAGTCTATCATCAGTCATTTATTGAGCAACAACTGTGTACCTAACAATGTGGAAATTATACACAAGTATAAAAGCCATGTTCCTGCCCAAAAGATGTCATCTTGATTAAGAAATATGTGTAAGACATTATATATATTAATGCTAAATTATGTAGCACTGAAATTTTTAAGTAATTCTGAGAAAAAGGAAATCAATATGGATAAGATTAGTCAGGGGTTTCGTGTATGAGATGGATTTTATTTTATAATAATAAACAATATTTATTGAGCACTTAATTTGTGCTGGCATTGTCCTTTGCATTTTTACATGTGTTATTCAATTCAGATGCGTAGAGGATAATTAACTTGCTGGAATCACCCAGCTAGGAAGAGGTGGAGCCAGGATTTAAACCCAAGCAGTCTGGTTCAATAGCCCACTCCACGATTCTCTCATAAGAAAGAGAGGCATCTGGGCAGAGTAAATTGATGGAATCTTAGGCAGGAAGATTAGTACAGGTGAGCATGAAGGGGTAGTTTAAAATCCCCTTTGTGAGTTTTTGAGAGGGTAGTGTTTTGTATTTCTAAGGTTGTGTGTGAGATTTTAATAGTATGCAATGATAGTCATAAGTCTTAAAGTGAACTTGTTGCATATATGTGATCTTTAAATATTAGTTGCTGAGTTGTTTATCTTTTTTTGTCCTGTGCCTCATAATTTTAATAGAAGTCAATGAGAAATAATGATTCCTTATGTGTTTGATACCCTTACTTTGTCTTTTTCAGGAGATCTACATAAATCGTGATATATTAAGTTAACTTTTTTTCAAATCTGCAACATTTGTATAGTTAAGGTTAAACATAGTATGAGTACATTTTGAGCATAAAAAGAAATGAACATTTTTACAGCGCTTTTCCTTAGCACTTTATTTACTGTGCATTTGTCAATGGCATATCAGAGAGCACATCTACCCTCTTATAATGAAGTTTCTAATATTTTTATCTGATAGCATCAGACCATCAGTGGCATTCTACAAGATATAGAAGAAAAACAGGAAAATTTATTAGAGTTTGAAATAAGAAACCTTGAAGATGCAGGTAAATGTGGACTCATACTCAGCTATGATTATTTTAGACATCCAGAGTCATTGCTATCTCATCTTTTTAAGGCACATGTATTTCAAAGCTCACAATGGCTGAAAAGGGTGTCTTCTTTTTTATGCGAGAGAGCATTTAAAGTGCCAAGAATTATCATTAAGAGTCAATGATGCAAACCAGTACTTTGTGTATCATTGATAAAGATACAACTACATGCAAGGTATAGCATAAGTAATTTGAGAAACATTCGGAACGATGATCAGAGATATGCTACTACTAGTGATATGTTTGGACAAGGATATGACAGAAAACATACATAAGATAGTGACTGGAGATGAGATTATGTTACTCCTGGGCTCCTCAGCTTCATCAGCTATGGTAACCTTTAAAAATAGAAGAGGAATGTGCAGTGGTGACACAAGTAGAGCAAATCCTCTTACTTTTTAGATGAGCATGTATACCAGGTAGATGTCTTATTACATCTTCCTGTTTGCAAAACACCAATGATTCAGAATAGCAAATTAGACGCTGATCCCTGACCTAATAATCTTAGCTTCTCAATACATCAGTGAATACTTGCAAACCCTTGATGGCTCACAGCTATATTTTCTTGAGTTATGATTTACAAGGTAGAAAGTAGCTCCTGATAGATTCAGATATGAATCTTAAAAGTTAGTTAGAAGTACTTTGCTAAAAATAAAGTAATTTAAAATACTTCATCAATCTTTTGTAAAGGAGGATACAATGTTAGTTCATTTCTCGTCCTAACTCATGTTTGTATAGTCTTTAAAAAAGTTACTTTCTTATAATTGTTTTCTTATAATTATGCTTTTTATCCTGGCTTCACATATGGTTCATTATATTTTGAAGAAAATAATATAAAATAATTCATACCTCCAAACAAATATGTACAGTTAGTATATTTTATTTACTATTTGTAATGTACATATAAGATGATTTTTCTAAGTTCATAATTTTTCATTATAAAAGGCATATAGATACACATCAAAGAATAATAAAGAGGAAACAGATGCTTAAATTACAACTATCCCACCAGAATATCTTGTTATATTTGTTTCCAGGCCTTTTTTTTTTTTGGTCTAAGAATATAGTTATACAGTCAAACCTTAATAAAACTGTTAAAAACAGTTTGATCTAGCTAGGTGCATTATTTTTGCATTCTTTTTTCCATAGCCATTATTCTTAGTGATTATATATTATCCTGTTCAAGAAATGTTCGACAGTTTACTAAATTTTTCCCTTTTTGTCGAGCACTTAGATTATTTCCAATTTTTTGCTGTCACGCTATATAACATGTAGCTTTTTCTAGACTTACAATTATCTTCTTAGGAAATATTAACAGAATTGGAATTACTGGGCCAAGTTATATAAATATTTTTAAGTCTGTTAATTTATATTGATATATATTGATTTCCTAAGGTTCACCTTAGGAAATAATACTAATTTTCACTTCCATCAACACACCTTGGTGTTTGATTTTGTGTAGTAGCTTCAGTATTTTTATTTAAAATAATCATACTAGTTTAATAAGAAAACTAGTCCTCATATTTTCTTTTGCCTTATTGACTATTAGTAGTATTTTTCACTAGTTTTATTTCTCGTCTTGTGAATTGACTGTTCTCATTCTTTGTTTGTTCATCAATTGGAGCCTGTTTTTATAATAAAATTATTGACCCATTTTCCACCATAACTTCTGCAAATACTTTTTCAGCCACTTGACTGTCTTTTTATTTGTAACGTGTTTGTTTGTGTTTAAATACATAAACTTGCAAACTCTGTACAGTTGAACCTGTCAGCCTTTTTTCTTTTGCTATTTCTTTGCATTCTTCTAAGAATAGGAATCCCCCCAACCCCCAGATTCTGTAGATTAATTGTATTCTTTTATTACCAGTACAGTGAATAATCATAATCCCTTTATTTTTGTCTCACTGCCCCTTGAGGTAGGAGAGGTAAGGCAAGGGGACCTTAGAATTCTTGGGTGATGACTAAGTTCTGATTGTGGTTGGCTCTGCCACTCTTTGACAGATGTTTAAAACTCAGTCTCTTGAGAATAGTTTTCTGAGACTTTTCTGAAACTTCTACATGGCCTGCTACATGGAAACTCCTATGATATAGGCAGTGCACATTTCCCTTTCCATGTGCCCTCTCAGTCTCCTCTCAGCTTCTGTATGTTTCTGCTGGTCCATCCTACACAAGACTCTCACCCTCAGGTAGAAGCCCTTGTAGGCAGGAGCACAAGGCAGGCTCCACACCAAGTCCTCAGAACCCTTGAATCTTGGACCCACTGTTAGAAGGGAGGACAGTTACTTCCCAGCACAGCAGCGACTTTCTCTCCCTGCTGTGGAAGTTCCTCACTCCTTAGGGTCTCACCATCTAGGTGTTCAGGGAAGAAACCAGATACTGATCTATTGTCTCCCCAACTGAGAGTTCAGTTATGTTCTTGAAATAATCCTTTGAGGAACTGTCCCCATTAGGCTTGAGATAAAGGGGAGAAACTCCCCCAACCCTCACCCTTGCTGCTTGCTCAGTATGGAGATTCCCACTCAGTTAAGCAATGGTTCTCTAAAGAAATCTCCTTACAAATTCACCTCCCTCTGCATTCTGATACTTTTTATATCTTTCATCTGGATAAGAGATTCAAGAGTAAGGGATCTTACTATGTACGTTTCTTTGAAAATTTTTCTCATAGAGATCTTAACATTCACTTTGATATCAGATATCTTTAGTGCCTCAACTTAACTGAAGCAGAAAATGCCATTTTAAACATTTTTCCTAAGCATTTTAATAAATAACTCATCTGAAATCTCTTTTCTGCATGTGGTATAAAATAAGGATAGGATAGGGTTTCCCCCCATATTATTACCCCATTTACTCACACTTATTTGTTGAATAATTTCTGTCATCCTCATTATTTTATAATGCCTGTTATCAGATATTAAAATCTTACATATATTAAGACAGCTTCTAGGTTCTCTCTAACATTCCATTGATTAGTGTTGTTTTTTTGATTAGTATATAGTATCAAGTTACATGTAAAATATCTTTATACCCTTTCCTATAGAAACATATAGAATATTTTAGGTTACTGTGATGTATTATTTTTACCTGTGGTTTAAAATCCAGTTAAAAAACCCAGTGTGATGGGGCACATATATAATTTAAATGTCTTTTAATAAACAGTGTCAAATCTGGTAAACACATTTATATCTAAATTCTTAATGATCATGCACATTTTTCCCTATTGTTAGCATATGCATTATATTGTAAAACTAATCCTTAGCCATAGTATTAGGGAGGTAGAAACAACTCAGGGGACACTGACTCTATACTTATCAAATTATTTGTCTGATTTGCAAAGGAAGGTTCTGGAACAAATTTCAACTCTGAACCTCATGTTACTTCCCACCACTCATTTTCTCAAGTTACATAGAAAACTGTACATTGGTCCAAAAGAATTAGGAAAAACCTTAAGAAAGTCAAAAGTGAAATGAATAGCAAGTAGCATAAAAGAAAGAAAATGTTTTTGTTTAGGTCTTACAGTTTCTTACTTGGGATCTGGATTTGGACACAGTTCACATCTATGTGTAAATCCTGTAGATTTGTGGATTTGTGATGAGGGAAAGGTCATGAAGCAAAGGAAGAAGTAGGAAAAATTTAAGTTATTATTTTATAATAGTAAATGTGTAAGATCTATAAGTGACCTTAGGTATTCATGTAATGCTTCCTAAGTGTTAAGTGCAAAGAACAAGAACTGATAGCATGATTGTAATATTTAAGTACGTGTAATATATAATTATATAATATAAATATTTAAACAATAAATTAAATAAATGTGTAAAACAAATTTCACACACACATATACACACACTCATACACACCAGAGTATTAACAACAATCTCCTTTGTGGAGTAATAAAAGAGAAGCATCTTTATAAACATTCATATTGTTTAAAACAATTTTTTTAATGTTAATATATTCCTTTTGTATTTTAAAAAGTACATAATTTCAACAGACAAAATATTTATTTTCTTTTACCACCTTCATTTCACAAATAAGAAAGCTGATCAGAGAGGCCACATGACTTATCCATGCTCACAGAGCTCAGTCAGTGGGGTAGAAGGATCAGAACTCACGTTGTCCTGCTCTTCCTTGGTACAGTGTTCTTAACTATATACCTCAGGGCATTTCCCTAGAATGACATAAATAAAATAAGCCTGTATTTAGATATCTGGGCCATTAATATTAGGGCGGAAGGCAGGGAATAATGGCTTTTTAAAATTAACAGTAGAGCTAAGTTCTGTGTGACCAAATTTAACATTTACTATCCCTCAATTGACTTTTTATTCTATTACTGTGTTTCTAGAACAATACATTGAAAAGATGTTAGAGATAAAAGAGGTTATGGATAACGTGCTTGCCAAACAGAAAGCAGAAAGGGATGATCTGGCTAAAAAATACAGGTGAGTAAAAAAGTTAGAGTTCTTTAGAGTTTCTAGAATTTATCCATTTTTAGCTGTAATAGTTAGGCCTAGAATTTCTTTTGAGTACAAACATTGTTTAGGACAAAAAANTTTTTGTCTGAACTCCTTGTTTCACATAGTTTTAAGTGTAATTTTCTTTCTTTTTCTCTTTTATCTAGATTCTTGCATTTATTTTATGCTACTAGTTGTTTGCTAATCTGATTTCTTCTTGCTGCTGCTGTTTTTTTCACTTATATATACCTCTACTTTTAACACGCAGTCTCGTGGAGTTCAGTACCAACAACTCTGAACTTTGCCAGGAGAGGCAAGATATCTATATTATCACTTTTCCTTAAAGCAACAGCTTTTAAAGTGTGGTCCAGAGACTTCTGATGGGTCTGTGAGACCATTACATTTCAGGGGGTCTGTGAAGTCAAAACGATTTCTTATAATAATACTAAGATGTTATTTGCCACTTCTGCTCTCATTCTGTCATGAGTGTGCAGTGGAATTTCCCAGAGGCCACATGATGTATGATTACTCTATAGGCTAATGGAATACGTGCTTGTAATATTCTAGTGATTTAAAAATTTCTCAGTTTAAATTCCTAAGACAATAAATATTGATAGATATAATCCATATTAACAAAAGCTCTTTGGGTTCTTCAATAATTTTTAAGAGCATAAATAGCTTCTGAGGCTAAAAAGTTTGAGAATCACTAGAAATAGTGTCCATTACTGTGAAAGTCAGTGTGGTATAGGTGAGCATAACCAAAAGACAGAGGTGTGGAGGTGTGATGAGCAATTTCCTCTTCCTTAGTTCTCAAGATCCTGAGAAATTTGGTTTGGGGAAGGCACACAGGATGATGCTTGTCTGGATAGTCCCTCTGTACTTGAAAGAGTCTCAGTTAGGTTCATAGTACAATTATAGTAATTATGATTGAATTACTTGATGAACTAACCTTTATTAGGTCTAGCTGAGTTATCACTGTTCACAAAACAGTATTGTTCCTCCATAGCTAAGGGAANGCTTTTTATCCTGGCTTCACATATGGTTCATTATATTTTGAAGAAAATAATATAAAATAATATAAAATAATATAATTTAAAGTGCCAAGAATTATCATTAAGAGTCAATGATGCAAACCAGTACTTTGTGATAGCATGATTGTAATATTTAAGTACGTGTAATATATAATTATATAATATAAATATTTAAACAATAAATTAAATAAATGTGTAAAACAAATTTCACACACACATATACACACACTCATACACACCAGAGTATTAACAACAATCTCCTTTGTGGAGTAATAAAAGAGAAGCAGGCGAGCAAGTGAGGGTACTCTTACTTTTCATCTTTATAAACATTCATATTGTTTAAAACAATTTTTTTAATGTTAATATATTCCTTTTGTATTTTAAAAAGTACATAATTTCAACAGACAAAATATTTATTTTCTTTTACCACCTTCATTTCACAAATAAGAAAGCTGATCAGAGAGGCCACATGACTTATCCATGCTCACAGAGCTCAGTCAGTGGGGTAGAAGGATCAGAACTCACGTTGTCCTGCTCTTCCTTGGTACAGTGTTCTTAACTATATACCTCAGGGCATTTCCCTAGAATGACATAAATAAAATAAGCCTGTATTTAGATATCTGGGCCATTAATATTAGGGCGGAAGGCAGGGAATAATGGCTTTTTAAAATTAACAGTAGAGCTAAGTTCTGTGTGACCAAATTTAACATTTACTATCCCTCAATTGACTTTTTATTCTATTACTGTGTTTCTAGAACAATACATTGAAAAGATGTTAGAGATAAAAGAGGTTATGGATAACGTGCTTGCCAAACAGAAAGCAGAAAGGGATGATCTGGCTAAAAAATACAGGTGAGTAAAAAAGTTAGAGTTCTTTAGAGTTTCTAGAATTTATCCATTTTTAGCTGTAATAGTTAGGCCTAGAATTTCTTTTGAGTACAAACATTGTTTAGGACAAAAAAATGACATTATAAGATTGCCTAATGTGTAACCTCCATGGGAATTATACTTCCCAGAGAGATATTTTTCTACTTTATTACTTGAAATATAAAGAAGAGAAAATTTTAATATCTTAAAAAGTTGTCTACAGTGAAGAATTTTATAACAGCTCTTCCAGTCCTGAATATTTGCTATCACAAATGTTGTCCTTCTAAGCAGTTGATTAATCAGTTAATTAATTTTGTGTTTTTGTGTACTTCCAAACTCTCAGGGATCCTTAAGGAGTTTTATACTGATTGGATTGGTTATATACCTCTTCTCATTCTTTTTGAGAAAGATGTTACGTATTTTTTTTTCTTGTTTGGGTATTATTTTTTGTTGGTTTTTCATAGACTTAGCTACACATGCCCCTATTCATTATCACATTTAATTTTCCTTTATATTTTTGTCTTATAATCATTTGATCCCTATTACATATTCAATTTTTTCTGAACTCATTTAAAAATCATTTTGCCTTTCTATCCAGCAAATAAGTATCATATGTTCCTTTCTACTTCCTGACTTGTTTTCTGTCAGTACAAAGCAAGTGAGCTTGTATGACCTACAGATGGGTAATTGACTATAGGATGTTTTCTGGGGGACTTTGGAGAGGCTAACTTTAACTTCCCTTTAGTGTCCTATGTTTAACAATACACCAGGAACTTTGAAAAGTTCTGGATCAATTGGGGTTTTAGGTGTGTAAATCCTGATTAATATTGCTATAA